AACTACAATTTCTCTGCTATTCTTGAATAAACTCAATTTTGCTGGCTGAATTACTTACCTTTTTCTTTTAGAAAATTGACAGTCCTTTAAAGTTCATTCATAGACTAGTATACTTGGGTTGCTTACACTAGATACAAATGTACCTGTTATGATCTGGGTCTAACTGGAAAACTGTTAACTTGGAAGATATGCACGCCAGATGTTGATTATAGATAGGTAAAATACAATCTTTTTTTGCACCAACAGAAAAGATTAAGATACAAAGGGGAGCAACCACTTCAGTATTCCTATATTCACTTTACACACTTAGTATATCCACTTTTGTGAATACACCTGCAAGGATATTTTACAATAATTCTGTACAATATCACAAAAGATGAAAACATGCAAATTTCTTGTAGCCCTTTACATTTCTGAAACTAGTGTTTACTTGTTCAGAAATGGACATAGAGAGGCGCCTGGGTGGCTCAGTGGGTTAAGTATCGGACTCTTGATTTTGGCTCAGGTCACGATTTCATGTTCATGGGTTCAAGCCCTGCATTGGTCTCTGTGCTGTCAGCATGGAGCCTGCTTGGGATTTTCTTCCCCCCACCACCCCCGGCCTCTCCCCCACTTGCTCTCTCAAAAAAAAAAGGGGGGGGGGCACCTGGGTGGCTCAGTCGGTTAAGTGTCCGACTTTGACTCAGGTCATGATCTCACGGTCTGTGAGTTCGAGCCCCGCGTCGGGCTCTGTGCTGGCAGCTCAGAGCCTGGAGCTTGTTTCAGATTCTGTGTCTCCCTCTCTCTCTGACCCTCCCCCGTTCATGCTCTGTCTCTCTCTGTTTCAAAAATAAATAAACGTTAAAAAAAATTTTTTTATATAAAAAAAAAGGACAGACGCATTTACTACCATAAAAATGAATATCCATTTTGATAAACATGCAAATATCCATTTACAAATGTATTTAACAGCATAATAGTTGGGAATATATATAGTAATAAACAGCAACTAGTTAAACTAATGTCATTTATTGCATTTAAATTTTTTTTTTTCAACGTTTATTTATTTTGGGGACAGAGAGAGACAGAGCATGAACGGGGGAGGGGCAGAGAGAGAGGGAGACACAGAATCGGAAACAGGCTCCAGGCTCCGAGCCATCAGCCCAGAGCCTGACGCGGGGCTCGAACTCACGGACCGCGAGATCGTGACCTGGCTGAAGTCGGACGCTTAACCGACTGCGCCACCCAGGCGCCCCGTTTATTAAGTTAGTATAAACATGCATCCAAAATCATGATTATTAAGGATGGCCAGCTAGGATTCACACTCAGGAACTGTCTGCTTGCTCACCCTGAACTAGCATGAATCACCATAGTGGCACAAACTACATGGTTCTTGAACAGTCCTGACAGGAACATTGAGAAGCTAATATGATCAATTAGTATTCAAAACATGAAAAAAAAATGCATTTAAAGGAACAACCAGTTCTGGTTAAATTGGAAAGGCAAAGAGACTTGAAGAGTAGCTTTTATTTCTAAACTTGCATTTAGGGGACATGCTGAATGTCACAAACACAGTAACAAGTCATAAAAGATCTATCAATTTATATTATTTTATTTATTTATTTTTAAAAAGTTTATTTTGAGAGAGTGCGAGCGAGACAGAGGCGGGGGGTGGGGGAGAGAGAGAGAGAGAGAGAGAGGGAGAGAGAGAGAGAATGAATCCCACACAGGCTCTGAGCTGTCAGCAGAGTCCAAAGTGGGGTTCGATCTCACCAACTGTGTGTTCATGACGTGAGCGGCAACCAAGAGGCCAGAGGCTTAACAGCTTAACCCACAGAGCCACCCAGGTGCCACTATATTATTTTAAATGTGACAAGATTCATTACATAACTTACATGATAACTTCGTATAAGGAGATCAGCAAATAAGGACAATCCTTTTTTCTTTAAAATTCCAAATAGCTATTGTTTTAACTAAAAAGACCTGGGGTAAGTGGCCTACAGAGATGCAGGATTAGAAAACAGGATTAAAGAAGAGAGTTTGTCATTGCCAGTCTGTCATTTACCTTCTCTTAAATAGTATTCAGCTATTAAAGTTACATGTGTACCTTTCTTACCTTGTTTTCTATTATAATCTCCTTAAAGGAAAAGCCCCCATGCCCCTCTTTTTTAACTTTTTACTATCTTAAAATCACCCAGTCATAGTATCCTGCACATTGTATGTTTGTTAAATTAAATTATTAACTGGAAGATGGGATATAATACCTGAATTATATCGAATGAATGCCTTATATATGCTGAGCACTATTCTAGGGACTAAAGATAGAAAATAGTTATGAAAAAAATGGATGAAAAAAAATTTTAATTCCTGTCCCCACAGAACTCACCTTCTAGTGGAACAAAATAATATATTCAGTCTAATACATCCATTTAAACATTTATCATGTGCTATGCCCTTGAATAGAAATAATATGTTTGGTGTTCAACAATGGGACTTTCATACATGTTAAATGATTTATTTCTCAGAATGCCCGTTCTCCCACTCCTATAGTTACAAACAGACTACTACAGTGAAACAATTTCCTACTGAATAAAGTGGGAACCTCAGAGATGTAAGTGATTATGGTTGCAACCACACAAAACTTAGAAATGCCAAAATATGATAAAAAGTTCAGTTTCAATATAAACATATTCTATGCTCTCATGATTCTAAGTTGCATTATGAAGTAGATTTCTCAAATTCACAATCATTCCCTTAAGACTAATGTCCTTTTAAAACTCAGAGCTTAAGGGGCCTCTGGGTGTCTCAGTTGGTAGAGCAACCGATTCTTAATTTCAGCTCAGGTCATGATCCCAAGGCTGTGGGGTCCGGCTGAGCACTGAGTGTGGAGCCTGCTTGGGATTCCCTCCCTCCCTCTCTCTCTCTCTCTCTCTCTCTCTCTCTCTTTCTCTCTCTTCCCCACTTCCCCCCTAGCTCGCCCTCCCTCTCTCTAAAATAAAAATAAACAAAATGAAAATAAAACCTAGAGCTTTAAAGAATCAAATATTACATCTAACCATATGTATTAGGTAATCAAAAGAGAAAACAAAACTTAATTGCTACAGTATTCAAAATTCTAAAGACATAATTTAGTAATTCAATAAAGAGGAAAATATGCTACATGGATTTTTTTCTCTTTTGAATGACAACCTTGGGATTTTGTGTTAATTAACAGGTTGTCAAAGTATTTTCTAAAGCGTTATCTCAAGGTTTTATTCATCTGAATGGCTGTTAATAATGATTACTTGATTTTACAATGGAAAAACAATCTGTAACCTATTTACAACAGACTCAGCATCTATAAGCATCAGGCAAATGAAAAGATACCACAGGTCCTTCTCAGACAATTCCTATCATTCTGGTTTTTCCCAAAGATCCCAGTTAGTTGGCCTCTATTCTACCAGAGTTATTTCTGGCCACTGTGCCTTTTCCCCTAGACTCAAAATTTCACTCCCATCCTCAGTCCCTGCAGTGCGCAGGTACTCTTAAGGTTTAGTAACGAATTTTGTTGTTGGCAATCATTAGGAAATTGACAAGACGTAAAGAACTGAAGCTACAAAATTAAAGATCTCACAATAAAAATTATCCTTATAATTTATGTAAAAATAGACCAAGATCTATTATATCTTCTTTTGGTCTTCCTAATTCTAGCCTTAGGAAAAAAAAATTTTTTTTTTTAAATTTTAGAGAGA